ACGGAAATACATTTATTATTGAAGATACATCATACCCGTTAACACAAGGACTTGTTAGTTTAATAATTTCGAAAACTCCGAAAATCTATACCGCAGACGATCTAAACACATATAAACGCATATTAATCCAAACATCAGCACATTTGACATCAGACGAGAAAAAAATTAAAAAAGGTGGAAATAAATTCATCGACATAATCAAACCATTGTTCCCGTCTGGTAGTGGGTTATCTGTGAAATTACAAAATAAAAGTTTAGTATACTGGAATGATCCTAATGAGTTAGTCGAACGTTTACGACTACTTTTAGCTTCTCAAGCTGCTGGTAATGCAGGGCTTTCCAACGAAATACTTTCAATTTACGAAGAATTGTATGAAGCAGGTTTGATAAAACGAATTCCAAATGTCTAAACGTGATATCGCTCTCGAACTACACAAACCAGCAAGAAAAAATTATACGAGGCGTAGAGTTAATGTTTATGGTAAAAACGATCTATGGCAGACCGACTTAGTCGAAATGATCCCATACTCGAAAAAAAATAAAGGTTATAAATATATTTTATGCGTCATGGATTGTTTTACAAAATTTGCTTGGGCGACACCATTAAAGTCTAAAAGTGCTAAAGAAGTTTCGAATGCAATGTCTAAAATACTGCTTAAACGCGCACCAAAACTATTGCAGCTCGATAATGGTAAAGAATTTTACAATACAACATTCAACTCGTTAATGAATAAACATAATATACACAAATATTCTACATATAGTACAACGAAAGCATGCATTATCGAACGTTTCAACCGCACATTGAAAGAAAAAATGTTTAGAGAGTTTACTGCACAAGGATCACACGAATGGGTTTCTATTTTACCTTCATTGATTAACGAATACAATAATTCAAAACATAGAACAATAGGTATGACACCTATACAAGCTGATGCAAATCCTTCTTCAGTGAAAATAAAGCAACGTCAAATTATTAATGGAAAAATTAAATTTAACATTGGTGATAATGTTCGTATAAGTACATATAAAGGGGTATTTACAAAAGGATATTTACCAAGCTGGTCTACAGAAATATTTAAAGTTATCAAAATAAATAAAACTTCCCCCACTACTTATCAACTACAAGATTATACTGGAAAACCTATTGCAGGCTGTTTCTACTCTGAGGAAATTCAAAAAACCAATCACCCAAACGATTATTTAATTGAAAAAATTATACGTAAGAAGGATGATCAAATGTTTGTAAAATGGTTAGGGTTTGATAATACACACAATAGTTGGATAAATATGCGTAACGTTAAAAAATAGCGTCAGTCGAGCTACAGACATGAACGTGTTCGGTAGTTCTCAGTCTAGTGAAACTAATACATTTTTAGTAAATCTCGAACAAATTGTTAAATCGTTTTCGTCTAAATTAGATAAAATCGAACATTTTCTTGAAGAAAATCGAAAATCCGTTAATATACAACAAGAACAAACTGAAACGCTTCAATTAATAATAATAGATTACTTAAAAAAATCTGAAGCATCATTACATTATATCAAAGAAAATACAGACACGTTGAAAAATAAACCATAATGTCTTCGGCCATCTTAGACATGCAATGCGTCCTTGGAATGGACAATAAATACATGATTAAAGAAATGTCTATTGTAGACACAGAAACATGGGCGACCCAACATTGGATTTTTAAAAATTCAAAACTAAAGTAAGACAACAAGAGTCGTAAAACCAACAAGTGGCTGGAACGTAACTATCATCAACTATCCTTGGATTATGGTGATATCGAGTATGAAGAACTAAGTAGAATATTGAATTCATTAAAGTTCAGATGCATATACGTCAAGGGCGATCAGAAACAACAAGTTCTCATGGAGTATATACCACACGTCGCACTCATAAACATTGAAGATTTAGGCTGCCCTCGTTTGGAACAAATATGCGATGACGAAACTCTACCTTGTTGTATTTTTCATATGGAATTTAATCCTAAACAATGTACATTTTATAAAGTTTTTGCTATAAGAAAATGGTTTATAAAGAATTCTTAAAAATAAAACATGATAATATTTTAACATTGTTTTTTTTATTTTACATTGGCAACCTTTATAGATTAAAAATATATAGATTACAAAATATACATGGTATTTACAAAATATATATACATGATATGTATAAATTAAAAATATAACAAAATATATATGGTATTTACAAAATATATACATGATATGTATAAATTAAAAATATAACAAAATATATATATATATATATATATGGTATTTACAAAATATATACATGATATGTATAAATTAAAAATATGAGAAAATATAACAAAATATATATATATATATGGTATTTACAATTATTTCAATATTGTAGGTGTTGTAATAGAAATATATCTCAAGAGTAATATTTACAATATATCACAAAACTATATACAGGTTAGGTTATGCAGTGTAGAAGGTCTCTCATTAAGCCTTTCTCTTCCTCCTTCCAGTTATGTCCTTCTTCATCTAATTCAGGCCAATCATCCTCGGGTTCATCTTCCCTATAAAATTATAAATATTAATATTAATTTATTTTAAATTTATTTTAAATTTACTTTAGAGAGTAATGTCCGTGAGCCAAGGTATGGATTTTATCTTCTAGGATAACTCTTTTATCATCAAAGTTATTAAACGTTAATTTGTTTGATTTTATTGTCATCAGTTGATGTTTGAAAGAGCGGATGGATACATTTTCTCTCTTAACATCCATCTCCTCTTCACCAAACAAACACTTTTTATGATCGTTAAACGTCATATGATTCTTTACAACATGCCTTCTAATTCCCTTGGCCCTGATCTTTTCCCTACCATCCAAAATGTAAGCATATGACTTTGCTCGCAGCGCGCAAAACTCTGTCATTACGAGCCCATCCGTTTCATCGGAAAACAGACCCGGTATTTTTTTTCTCTCCGAAATAAAACATGGATGGTCTTCCGGTAGGTTGGAAGTATCCATTCGGTTGAGTAAGTTGTTATTATTCTTGAGGTCTTCGTAGAAATCATCGGTCTGGATATAATATACCAATGAATCTATAAATTATGAAAATTATTATTATGTATATATCGAACTAATAATAAATAATAAATAAAAATAATACCTGTATCTGTATACATGAGCTCGATTTTATCCCCATAGTGTTTTTGCATCACATTATAATGATAATCATATATTAAACTCTTGCTTATGTCAAGAACCGCAAGACCTATGTACATTAAAAATCTCAATAATACCTTCATATATATATTATTAATAGGAAAATTACCAATATAAATAGGTTTGCAAAAATTGATGATCTTATTTTCCAATGTTACGGCATTTAGGTTTTCAGAATACGTAGTGCAGTATTTAAATGTCGATTTGTTTATTAATTTCTGTAAACGTCTGTCACACGAAACAAGTTTCATTTCCATACGTTTACGAACATTTTCCATGGTTTTTCCTGCATGAAAATCATATGATAAAGACAATAATTAAAAGAATCATAATTATTTTTTTTTTTTTTTTACCGAATACAGCGTTGTTTAGTAATTTAAAGAAATCCTTCTCAAATTCATTCTTTGCCTTTTTTCGCATCTCGGTATTCAAAGCAATGTATGGTGCGAGCCATGGTGATTGTTTAAATTGAACAACTCTATGCACCTATAACATAAATGTTAGTAATTCTATGATAAAATATCATTATATAATATTCACCTTTTCAACTATGAGACCATTGTTCAAGGCTTGCTGGAGGTTGCGATAGTGAACAACATAATTTTTTTTCGGTTTAAATGTCGCCATGAGTTTCTGCACTTTTGAGCCTGGTGGTATACTGTTTTGCGGTAAAAATGGCAAGTCGTTGTGTTTATCGTGAAGTTCTTTTGGATAGGTTATGTCGACTTCATAGATCCGTCCTATAGGGGAAGTTGCGTTCAAATCAGCCAATCCGTTAAGAGACGGATTAACCCACTTGAAGCCCCCGTAGGGCATGTACTCCGACATTGCCCAACCGTAAAGATTATTGCCTAGGGTTTTAAAAGTATATAATTAGCTTTATAATGATAATAATAATGTATAGATTAACTTACAATCCTGATAAACAAGCCAGGATTTTGGGTCTGCTGGGTTATAATCAGGTGTTCTCTCATTGTTAGGTTTTGCGTACCGCATGCTGGCCTGTGTAAGTCCTCCACGAATACCTATAAAAGTTTAATCGTATTATATATATATATATATATGTGATGAAATAAAAATAATTTCCAATATACTAACCATTTTCAATCATTAATAGCATTTCATAATCCGACAGTAATCCCAGTTTTATTGCAGTGTATTTCAACATTGCATCGAAAGAAAACGCTGGTGCTGTAAAATAATATGCTGGATCCAAATTGTATGTGTTCAAACATAAATCCCGGAAATTTTCGAATACATCCGCCAGAAGCAAGACGTCAATTTTCAAGTATAGATCTGAATACTCGCCCAACGTTCGACAATTGAAATGACTCCATACGTCTTCCGCAAACTGATATTCAGTATCTTTTATGTGTTCTTCTGTTAAGGTACTATAAAAGTCCACTTTTTCGGGTAAAGTTGTTTGTTCAAGCTTAGCCCAATCATCAGTGAAGTCATAAGGATATACACCCTTACGGGTGACAAGCGGTAGATCATTATTGGAAAAATGTTTTGCGGTTATGTGGAATTTTTCCAAGTTTGGTGTTATCAGATTGGAGGCGAGAGTTGATAAGCTTGTAGCCATAAATCTAAATGTATCAACGAATCTGATCGTAAAATCGTTACTTATGTATTTCGAAAAAGTAACGAATTTCTCTTCGCTGTTTGGTATTACTTTTATTCTATGCGAATCGTAACCTAGTTCTGTTACTATAAAATGTGCATCGTAATTAGAAAGATTATGAAGGAAAACTGGTACGTATTTCGGTTGTTTAAGACTTAAATTACACCTATTTCATAAAGTCTGTCTAAACTTCCCGGTCAGGTGGTCATGATCTCGAATACGGGTGTAGTTATTAACATCGCATTTGCATAAATTGCATTTAAAACAAGATGCGTGTCTAGTCGTATCTTCATCAGTCATAATCAAGGGTACGTTCGTCGCTAACAATATTTCAATTTTTTCACACACATCAACAACACTCTCCATGAAATGTTTTGCGACGTCTTGCTTGTCCTCACTACCATGGTAAATTACGGGTTCGGTTGGTATATTGAATTGTTTTAGCAGCTCTGATGGTACGTTTTCAGCCGCCTTAACTATAAATCCGTAACTCATCGGACGGTGTTTTTGTATGGTTGTTGTATTACCCCCCTTTTCCTCATTAGTCTTTACAAGTAGAGCCTCGAAATCGGCATATATAACAATAGGTTGTCTTTGTGCGTTTTGCCATGCTTTAAATTCAAGAACTGCCCCCTCTTCAGGCATTTTCGGTAGTATGGGTTTATGCGGACCGCATATTAATCTGTGGTGTTCTAGAGCTGCCTGTCCGCTTAGTTTATGTTTTAAGTTCTGTCTGTCGAACGATGTAAAGCAACGTTTACAGAATATAACTTGACCTGCATGACTAGTTTTTTGTGAACGGAGTAATCTCGAAAAAATTGAGATGTAAGTATAATGTGTATTATCACCATCCGTCACTAATAATAAGTCAAAGTGATCCCGTTTTTCATCATCTACGACTTTGAGTGGGAAAACCTCATATGAAGGATACTTTTTCGGTGGCTGTAATCGTTTTTCAAGTCCGTAAACATTTACAGAAACGTTCTGATTATTTTTTTCAAACTTGGTAATATCTGACAGCGGTGTCGGGAATGAAATTCCGTTAAAAATATATTTGTCCTCATGCTCCATATAATTTTAATTGACACGACATTTATTCTGTCCAGTAACGTGCTTTGCCAATACAGCCCATTTAAAGCACTGTTGGTCTATATTTTGAGGATTTATTATTGCCCTTTTATCTATGATGGATTTCGGTAATTCTATTTATGACGAACCAGATATCGGTGCATACTTATAAATGGCTAGTAGCAAACCATCGATAGACTGTAACGTAAACCCGCTACCACGAGAAACATAGGCCTCTTCCTCAGCTAATAAATTTATGAAAGCTTCTTCGACTATTGTTTCGATTTGTGTACCTATAAAAATTTCTTTGGCCGATGTTGTCGATTTTCGGATGAATTGTTTACATTTGGACGGTTATACGTAGCCTCGAGCCTCAAGCTAAATTTTATTGGATGTCTCTGCACGTGAGTTTTTAGCTTGTCTGACAGAGCTGGTTCGAGAGAACGGAGAAAGTCGGGATAATTTCGAATATTATTCAGATTTTTCGAGAAATACCACACTATTTTACGTTTTCCTGACGATGAAATCTCAACCAGACCCGGGGATGTAACCAGTTCCATACGAGAATTTTTCGCCTTAACAGCCGACACTGTGTTGGCGCTGGAAACGCGTTTGCCACCCACCGAAGTCATATAAGAATCTACTTAAAATAAAATAAAATAAAATCTAGCGACGATAATGTATAAAAAAAAAAAATCTTACCTGGCGCATCGCATAGCCCTGCATTTTGAGCATTTTCTAAAACTGCCACGCACATATCGTAATATTCATCGTTTGGCATATTCGACTGATGATGAAGCTCGTTTGAGGGGCCAGCGGGTATATCTGGTACTATAATATCCGGGGCGATCTCTATTTCACCTCGTTGCAGTGGTCGAGCGCGTACAATACCTTATAAAATAAATATTGAGTTAAATATTAAAATCAAAAATAAGAATCTACTTAAAATAAAATCTAACGACGAAAATGTATAAAAAAATCTTACCTGACGCTTCGCATAGCCCTGCATTTTGAGCATTTTCTAAAACTGCCACGCACATATCATCATACCCATCGTTTGGTATATTCGACTGATGTTGAAGCTCGTATGAGGGACCAGCGGGTATAATACCTTATAAAATAAATATTGAATTAAATATTAAAATTAAAATTAAAATTAAAAAAAAAAAACCTAATTAATAAAAATGTGGTATTAAATCTATTAAAAAATCTAGCACGAGTGACATTTCTTTTAAAAATAAAAAAAAAAAAATCTAACGTCTTTATGTAAATAACGGAGGGCCTTTTTAAAAATCTAATTAATTCTGATAAATAAAACTAACCTGTATCATCATCTTCTATTATGACGCATGAGTCACCGGTCTCGCCACCGGGGGCAACAATACGAGGCGCGAACTGGATGACGCTCGGTCGTGCTGGCTGATCTATGATCGGAGCAGCTGGCAATGGTCTGAGGTGAGCTGAAACGATACCTTAGGGAAAATAAAAAATTAATATTGTATAAAATAAAACTTTATATTTTTAGTACATACCATGAATGTTCTTCAGTTGCTTGTTGAGGTTGTTTTTGTACGAGAATGTCGATGGGCATGCAGTGCACGGAAAACGTACACCTGCATGCTTCTTTTGGTGGGCGACCAAATTACGTTTTGCGGAGAAAACTGACGGGCACTGATCACACTTATACATTTTTACGTAAAGTAATATCGAAATAAAACCACAAAGTGTAAATAATTTTTAAAACGCAGAGAAATAAACACTTGTAAAAATATTTTAAAGACTGAGAGAGAGTAAATATACGTGAACAACGGTTAAAGGTAGTACAAGGACTAAACAGAAAATCAAGAGTCTCTTCTTACCATGGACACTAAGAGATTTTTAGGGGTGGTGGTAATGGTGGGGATCGTGTAGAAAAAAAAGCAATATGGCGGGCGTGAACAGAGATTTTAAACCATATATGGTGACTATAAACCTTTGAAATAGCCGCATCCACCATATAAATCGGTCACATTCAATAAATTACCAATGACAAAAAGAATAGCGGCACACACATATAACGGTAAAAGCAAAGAGAGTTACTTTCTTATATAAAAGGAAAGGTATATGCCGCCAAAGGAAGGTGTATACCGCCAAAGGATGACCCATATAACGATACTTATATAAAAGGAAAGGTATATGCCGCCAAAGGACTAAAAATTCTTAGAAATTACCAACAAAGGTATATACTTATAACGGTAAAAGCAAAGAGAGTTACTTTCTTATATAAAAGGAAAGGTATATGCCGCCAAAGGAAGGTGTATACCGCCAAAGGATGACCCATATAACGATACTTATATAAAAGGAAAGGTATATGCCGCCAAAGGACGGTGTATACCGCCAAAGGATGACCCATATAACGATAATCCTTTAAAAAAAAACCCGCCTATATAGAAATCGGTCAAATTCAATGACAAAAAGGGCATATGCCGCCAAAGGACTAAAAATTCTTAGAAATTACCAACAAAGGTATATACTAATAACGGTAAAAGCAAAGAGAGTTACTTTCTTATATAAAAGGAAAGGTATATGCCGGTATATAAAGGTATATATAACGAGTATTAAAACATTATTGACGGAGGTGTATATTTAAAGGTTTCTTCCAAATATTGGCCATATTTGCGACTGGTCCAGCCATACTTATTTTTAAACACAGAAAAATAAATTTAAACACCGAAAAATAAATTTAAACACTTGTAAAAATATTTTAAACACCGAAAAATAAATTTAAACACTTGTAAAAATATTTTAAACACCGAAAAATAAATTTAAACACTTGTAAAAATATTTTAAATACTGAGAGAGAGTAAATTTACGTGAACAACGGTTAAAGGTAGTACACGGACTAAACGGAAAATCAAGAGTCTCTTCTTACCATGGACACTAAGGGATTTTTAGGGGTGGTGGTAATGGTGGGGATCGTGTAGAAAAAAAAGCAATATGGCGGGCGTGAACAGAGATTTTGACCATATATGGTGACTATAATCCTTTGAAATAGCCGCATCCACCATATAAATCGGTCACATTCAATAAATTACCAATGACAAAAAGAATAGCGGCACACACATATAACGGTAAAAGCAAAGAGAGTTACTTTCTTATATAAAAGGAAAGGTATATGCCGCCAAAGGAAGGTGTATACCGCCAAAGGATGACCCATATAACTATACTTATATAAAAGGAAAGGTATATGCAGCCAAAGGACTAAAAATTCTTAGAAATTACCAACAAAGGTATATACTTATAACGGTAAAAGCAAAGAGAGTTACTTTCTTATATAAAAGGAAAGGTATATGCCGCCAAAGGAAGGTGTATACCGCCAAAGGATGACCCATATAACTATACTTATATAAAAGGAAAGGTATATGCCGCCAAAGGACTAAAAATTCTTAGAAATTACCAACAAAGGTATATACTTATAACGGTAAAAGCAAAGAGAGTTACTTTCTTATATAAAAGGAAATGTATATGCCACCAAAGGACGGTGTATACCGCCAAAGGATGACCCATATAACGATAATCCTTTAAAAAAAACCGCCTATATAGAAATCGGTCAAATCCAATGACAAAAAGGGCATATGCCGCCAAAGGACTAAAAATTATTAGAAATTACCAACAAAGGTATATACTAATAACGGTAAAAGCAAAGAGAGTTACTTTCTTATATAAAAGGAAAGGTATATGCCGCCAAAGGAAGGTGTATACCGCCAAAGGATGACCCATATAACGATACTTATATAAAAGGAAAGGTATATGCCGCCAAAGGACTAAAAATTCTTAGAAATTACCAACAAAGGTATATACTTATAACGGTAAATTATGGTGGTTGATGTTAACTATGTGCCGAAAGATATTATTATGATTACACTATGTTATAAATTTGTATACTATACATAATATTTTATATTTATCTAGTTAAATGAGTGAAAATAACGCTTAGACTATAAGTGGTCATGTGGCCTAGTGGGTTAAAGCGTCATCGATATAAGATGGGGGTCGAGGGTTCGAAACCCGAACAATTATTTTGTAGTTTTTTTTCCCGTCATATAATTGTACACGTCTAGCGCGGATATAATATATATGATAAGTGATAACGGTAATAATGATAAGTGATAACGGTAATAATGATAAGTGATAATATATATTTCGCGCACGTGCGCGACCGGGCGGCGGGATCAGCGAATCAGCAAGGATCAGCTGATCATCAGGGATCAGCGGTTCATCAGGGATCAGCGGATCAGCTGGTATCAGCGGATCAGCTCCATTGTGTGTTTGAATTGTCTACTTTATACTACTAACAATCCAATGTATCTTATTATCATAGACCTTATACTCATAGACGGAGCATCCAGGTGGGATGCGGGTTGGTGGTGCGGTCATTCCTATCCTGCCAGCAGTGATACCATTCCTTGCGACCAAAAACATTGTTATTAACACTTACCACATAATATTATAAGACTTAATAAATATAATAGCGTAATACTATAATAATATTATAATGCTAAATAATTATTGCTCTGATACAATAGTAAATAACTACTGTAGTAATTATAATCTAATGGCAATATTATTAATTATTAGGGCTCAGGAATCTATGCATTTGCATATTAAATATTTATTCAGAACTTCGGAAAGCAAATAGAATAAATCGGATTTGTTACAAATTTTTTTCATGGTGTCTGGATACATTTTTTAAAGGTTTTTTGTACATATTTATGCATATTTCCAACTTTTTTCGTAGAAAATGAATATTTTTTTTGTCTTTACTTTTAAACAGGTATTTTTAATATTTTTAACACAATAAATCAAATTTTTATACCTATGTATATAAAAAAATATGAGATATTAATAATAGACAAAACTAATGAATTGTTATAAAACATAGTCTAGACATAATATATATTTGTCTGCAGTCTAGATCAAGTGATAATTTTAAGAGGTGTAGGTGTAGCTAGACTAAAATATAATAATGCATGTTAATTGTATAGCCATTAGCCATATAAATATTTGATTTATTTAATTAAGTATTTATAACACGTAATTAATTGCACACTTTTTTTCGCTACTCATTCCGAAATAAAACAATTTTGGTAAATTTTTTCCTCATAGAAATGTTATTTTTTTTTTCTGTTGTCGCAGCAGCATGGTGAAAACGAATGTTTAAGTATGTGAGAATAGCCATACTTATTATTTGATCTCTGTGTGAATTAAATAATTGTTGGCCTATACAATGGTCATTTAATTCTTTAAAAATATTTCGTTTCTGGTATATTTTATTTTTTATTTTATTAAACATTTTGTGCTTAATATTTGGTAAAAAAACATTAAAAGATCGAAAAGTTCTTTCTGCTTCATTACATATCTCCACAACATCATGACAAGGTTTTATCAAAGCGTTGTTTCGATCTTTTTGGTTTATTAATTTAAAATTGTGATTTGAGCTATCAATCAAAAATGGGTGACATATATCACAGGTTATTTTGTTTTTTATTTTTTTTACCACAAAACCAGCAATATAACTTGTAACTTCTTCTAAAAATGGTGTCAGTCTATTTAAAGATTGTATGTAATCATGATCTTGTTCAACTGTATTTAAATCCTCTTCAATATCATTATTTATGATACAATCTAGACCTACATTTACCACAGACATTTTGGTGCTATCAAGTATTGCAACACAATTGCCATACTGTGAACCACTAATTTCACTATGGACTAATAGTTTTTTATAAGCTGATTTAAATTCTTTACAAGAAGGGTTGTTGTTAAACCCACCTCTTTGTCTTACTGAACTAAAAAATGTCTCTATATGGTCTTGAGATAATTTAAAAGACAATAAGTAAGCAAGAGAATATTTTTTTTTCAAACAAGTATATAACTTTAATACATTTTGTAATGCTTTTATAAGCCCAACAAAGCCAGTTTTTCTACCAGATTCTACCACAGTTTTACCGTTGGGCAACCTTAAGCCTAATACATAATTATAAAAGTTCTTGCTAAAATTTTCATACTTTTCAAATTGTTTTTCATCAAGCGCCAGGCAGTAAGGATTTTTAGAATATTTACTTCTACAATTGAGTATATCAAATGCATCATTCATTAGGAAACAAAACTCTGCTGTAGCATCAATATCTTTAAAGTCATCACATCCTAAAGACTTGCAAAATTTTAGACCATTTCCAACACTATTACTCAACACTTGTGTTGCTAACTTGACATTCATTTTCTCATTATAATAGTATATGTGTTTATTTGTCAATTTTGTTGCTACTTTTAACCCTTCATTCTTTTCTTTGAAGTACAACATTTTAATATGGTTCCAACTTATTTTCTTTCCTTCTTGATTAAATAGATACCCCATATCTCCTAAAGTGTTTCTAATTAACTTTATCATATGGCAAGCATCATAAAAAACATATATGGGCTCGTTATTATAGGGATTTTTAAAGCTAAAACTTAATTCGTCATTTATATCAAATGAAGCACCCAAATTTGAACACATCTTACCATTACTGTAAGCTCCATCAAAAGTGATTGAATGCACTTTGGCACCCGTATCACCCATGAGAACTAAACATTGTTTTAATAAATTACTTCTTTCATTTCCATTTAGGCCCGCTACAAGAAAATAACCTATTGGCATTTTCCAATGTCCATTAACTCCTACAGCCATAAAAACGAATGCATTTTTGGCATGAACCGAGTTGTCATTCACTGTATCAATATTAGTACCCATATCAACAAAGCCATGCATTTTTGTTCCATCCCATTCAATTTTTTCTCTTATGCTCATCTCATCTAAAACGATGTTGCAAATAACAGTTTCATTCTTGGCTTTCTCATGTATGCATTGGAATGCTTCTTGAGTAAAACCTGGGTCTCCATTCACAACTTTATACCATTTACTTATGGTTTTGGGATGTGGAAGTACATTTTTGAAACTCTTTCTAACAAAATTATATGCTTTATTTGAGTAAAACTGCAAAGTTATGGCAAATTTCCTCATTTCTGGTGTATATGGAAGCTTTTTACCCTTCAAATTAAGCTCAACTAAAGTACGTAATGATTCAGAACCAATAGACTAAATAAAAGAATAAAAACCAAAATAATTAAAAATTAAAAACCAAAACTATAAAACTATACATATATTAATATAATATATTATATAATATTATATAATATATTTGAATATATTTACTCAAATACTTTACAACACTGGTCAGAGGTACCTATACAAGGTGATTTTTTAAACGTGCTCATCCCCATTTTTTCCTTTGATAATACATTTATTCAAATTCTGATTTTTATAATTTTTAACTATACCTAAATACTAAATAGCATATTTTCAAATTCCTGATATTTTTTGTACCATTTAAGGAATATCCTGTAGCGATACAAACTTCTCTTTATCAAAAGAGAACACTACTTTTTTATTAGAAATTATTTAGTGTGTGATTTTCTTGAAAATTTTGATGTATCTAAATCAAAATTCTAATAAGTAGTTTCTGAATTATTAAAATGTTTATACTGAGGATAATAATCCTTAAATATGGTTTTACAAAAATATAAATTATATGTGATTTCAAATTTGGTACCTATTTATTACACTTGATAATTTTCACAAATTATTTGTATTGATGGACTAAGCGTAATTACTTCACATTTTCAAAAAAGGGGGCTTCCCATTTAAAAACAGAAGTTTGTATTGTCACAGGATAATCCTTAAATGGTACGAAAAATATAGGTTTCAAGTGTTTTTAAAAATTCTAAAAATCAAAATTTAAATAAATAATGTATTATTAAAGGAAAAAATGGGGATGTTTAAAAAATCACCCTGCATAATAGGTTAAAAAATTACCTGCAAGTGGACAGATGCATTGTCTGTTAAAAATTGTTTCTTGTGTAACTTCAGAACAAGGTCATCATAAGTATGGACTTTTTCTGTCAGCCTTATTACTTTTTTTTTCAAATTAAAATTTTGAATCTGCTTTTCTCTGTATAGCTTCTTCACCATGTCCAAATGCCTCCGTGCCTTTCTTGGAGTTCTAAAATGACTTGGCGATAATAGTCCAATAGAATTTGCATTTAGCACTTTACGTTTCATAGGACTTTGATAAGAGCTAGATTTTCCCTCATAGTCCAAAGGTTCATAATCTTAGATGAAATAATAATAATACATTTAGACTGTTATATTACCTATGTATCAAAATAATGTTTGATGGTAAATACATTTTTGCATACCTGTACTTGTAGAAGCTCTGGGTTCAACACATGACCGTTTCATAGGACTTTGACAAGAGCTAGATTTTCCCTCATAGTCCAAAGGTTCATAATCTTAGATGAAATAATAATAATACATTTAGACTGTTATATTACCTATGTATCAAAATAATGTTTGATGGTAAATACATTTTTGCATACCTGTACGTCTTGTAGATATTACAAATGGAACAGCATTATTTTTCAGATATCCACTTGGTAAATAATTTTCTGGCAAAAAATGATCTTGACATATCTTGTAGGATGGCGAGTACCATTTTATATTACATACTTTTAACCATAGTTGCTGACGATCTTTATTTTTAGGAAAACTAAAATAATATAACAAATATTTAATGCAAATTGAATAACATATTAATGTTCTAATATAAATTATTGTACTTACGAATGAAATGATTTCTCTGATCCCTTAATCTCATATTTTTTACAAACAACACATAGTCTAGGCATAATTAATATTTTTTAGCTATTACACAAAATTAAAATAAGATTGAAATCTATTAATAAAATATTTAAATATGCTGTGATGATGCATACCACATTACGATAAATATTACTATTGTAACACAACCTGGTTGTGTTTTCGCGCATGCGCAGAAGAAGATTCCACACATGTGCAGCGCACCCCGTATTTGCCGCGGGAACTACGATCATGCTCCGTCTATGAGTATAAGGTCTATGCTTATTATACTCATTCTAAATATATAAAGAAAGTGTATACTAAAACTTTTATATTATTATAAATAATGTACCTCACATGTACCTACGCTTGGCAATTGCCGCTAATGTTTTTTACGTTGTTACTCATTCTGAAGTTGACAAATTAAAAGCAATAAAGAAAGTGTATAGTAAAACGAAACTTTAAGTGATCTGTCGGTATTATTATAATATGTTGGTGATATTATAAAATATTAAATTCGTTAAACAAAAAGCATGTGGTGCACACTAAAACTAAGTCACGGTTTTCTTCGCAAATGTATATTTTATAACAATATTATTTGATTAATGCGATCGTAGGTGAACGTGTTAAAAACAAAAAAAAAAAATAGGAAAAATATTTAATTTGTTTCACAGAAACCATGTGTTACAAACAAAACAAAGGCTCGATTTTCTTCGCAAATTTATATATTATTACAATAAGATATTATTAATTCATAAAAAGGATCCGCGTTGGACGTGTTAAAAAACAATCCAATGTTTCTTATTATACTCATTCTAAAGAAATAAAGAAAGTGTATAGTAATACTTTTATATTATTATAAATAATGTACCTCGTGTGCCTACGCTTGGCAATTGCCGCTAATGTTCTATGCATTGTTAATCATTCTAAAGTTGATGAATAAAAAGCAATAAAGAAAGTGTATAGGAAAACTAAACTTTAAGTGATCTGTCGGTATTATTATATGCTGATGGTATGATAAAATATTAAATTCGTTAATCGGAAAGCATGTGTTACATTATATTAATTGATAAATTACCTACGATCTGCGGTGTAAAAAAGGTTTTTAAAAAGCCACCAATTAAATTAATAATATAATGTATACTCACGTGTTTCTGGTTCAGACGGTTTGAATGAAATGATTTTAAAGTCGGAAGTCGGCGCAGTCCTTGGTCTTAGAACGGCGACAATAACAAGAGTCAAGGCAGGTAACCCATGCGGGAAACGATATCGCACGGCCGATTAATTTATTTATTGTATTGACAAATTAATTATCTTATAGTTTTATATTATTCATTCGAACACGGCATTAAACCTTACACTTTTGGCAATCGTTCTTATTTCATTTTTCCAAATTTTTTTCATATGGTCATAATAATGCCTTAGGACCATCACTCGATTTTATTGATACACACGCAAAAATGGTTTTCAAACATTCCCGCCTTCGACAGAATACCGCCAAACCTGTAGGCCTTATCACCGACCGTTTATCGTCTTTCCACTCGGCGGTATCAGCGGATAACTTCCCGCCTATTATGTGATATGAGAGATATTGGGTCTGACATCATGTCGGTGCGCGGAAACATTTCCGTGTTTTTCGGAGGACCATTGGGAAACGAAATCCCAATCAGCTGACCGAGTTTCGCTTCTAAATCGCTCTACTACCTACTATAAACGACAAAAACTATTAAACGTGGCCGCCCGACTTGCTAGACAATCAACAAATCACGGCGACTATATTAGGACTAGCACGGGCGCCCGAAATGTTATTATTTATATACATTTGATTTACGTCATTTGGCGTTTTCATGATTTGACCCGGACGTCGCACTATCCAACGAAGTCAGATTGCCTACCAGGGTTGCTACGTCCAACGTCGAGGAAGGTGACTGACCTACTAGACACCAAAACATATATACCAATTTTTTTGCACGTGACCTATTACTTAATTTTGCGTCAGAAGTCACACGTTGTCCGCTATCCGACGCTAGACCCTAGATCCTGCTAGACCCCAAAACATATTTTCGCGTAATTACGTCGAGGAAGGTGACTCGGTAATCGAATTGCTTACGAAATGTTTTGAATTTTTTTTCACGTATTTCATTACTTAATTTTGCGTTGTCGGTGACTGCAATGGACGCTGTCCCGGCCGCACATTGCCTACCCGGATAACATAGATGACTGACCTGCTAGACACCAAAAAATCAGACGGTGGCTATATGATTTGAATGGACAACCGAAATATTTTGAATTTTCTTCACGTAATTTATCCTTTAATTTTGCGTTTTCGGTAACAGTAATGAACGTCGTCCGCGATTCGACATAGTCGGATTGCATACCTGATGACGTGACCCGCCCGTCGCACATTGTCCGCTATCCGTCCAAGTCGGATAGCCTACTCCTATTATTATAGCGAATGTCATTCGAGGTGACTGACCTGCTAGACACCCTAAAAATACGGCGGCTATATGATTTGCATGGACGTCCGACATTTTTTAAATACTTTTCAAGTAATTTATTACTTTTTTTGCTTTTTCGGTAACAGTAATGAACGTCGTCCGCGATTCGACGCAGTCGGATTGCATACGTGATGACGTTCCCCAGCCGTCGAGTATTGTCGGATTGCCTTCCAGGGTGACTACGACCAAAGTCGAGGAAGGTGACTGACCCGCTAGACCCCAAATACTATTACTACGGCGAACGTCATTCGAGGTGACTAACCTGCTAGACACCCACAAAAATGCAACGACGATTTATAATTTTTTTACGGAATTTTGAATTTCCGGCGGCAGTAAAGAACGTTGTCGTCGAACGGTGTTGCTTACCGGGGGGCTAGCGCGTCGAACCACGGTGGACCTAACCTTATCAGAGTTCCTTATCACACACCGACCAGCTCGAGACTGACGGCCAGAGCAACAGACGACTGCAGCTTCCGAAATCGAAAACACTCATGACCGACACCCGGGTTGTTTACTAATATACATAATTTGGCTCAACTAAAAACTGTAATATATTATGTAGTATAAATACATGTAGGTTAGTTATATTACTATTGTCTATTCATGTAGGTATAAAATAACCATAGTTATAATAACAAATAGTTTATTTCATATAATACTCATATTCAAACCTACCTTTATAAGTTATATCAAATAGTATATAGTCTTATCATTATACAATCTAATTGCCAGACTTTAAATAAATACATAAAGTTCAATTTTGTTTATTAATACTCGTATAGTATTATTTATAATCTGTAGCAGTATTATAATCTAACCAAATCTTACTGACCTAAAAACTGTAATAGTTGTATCAAGTACCTACCTACTACATAGTATATTATTTATTTAATATTTAATCGAGCCCATGTCAAAGATTTAGGTGCGTTGCTCATAAATGTAGATAATAAAAGCAATAGCTGTGGTTGTCAATTATCTAAATATTGTTATTTATCAATTATCTATTTATTAATTTGATTAAACCTACCTATTGTATACTCAAATTAATAATACCTAATATATAATTATTTTATATTATTGTTTCTGTGACATCCATCGTCGACTCGAGCTGGGATAATATTTTATAAAGTATATATAATTTAACTAAACCAACCCAGCCACCGTGTATCATTTCTTGATAAATATACATTTATATATTATAATATGCATGTACCTGGTACACCTACAGACCGACTCTGCAGCGGGCGGCTTATAAATTTAGCGGGGAACGCCAATAACATCCAAACAGGAAGTGTAATGCCACTAACACGGGCCAAGATACGAATTTTAGAAAAAAACGGCAAAAAACGACGCGACGCATGTATTTATTGCTGTATTTAGCAATACTTACACGGTACCTACTCTCTTTTCCGCAACGCCAACCTTTCCCGGGACTCGTCTGTGAAAATGTAGGGCCACGCGCCGGCTATAATTTTAGCGGGGAAACCGAATAAGATTCAAACGGGGAGGGTAATACGACCAAAAGGAGCTAAAACTCGAATTTTTGAAAAAAACGAAAAAAAAAAGAGAAATCAAACTCTTCGTCGCATATTATATTCACGCCCATGTATAGTAATAATGACACTGTCCGCTCTGCTAAATCATTTGACGGAGAACGCGAATAAGTCTTCAACGGGGAGGTCCGAAGTCCGTAGAGGCGGTAAAACTCGAATTTTGTAAAAAATTCGGAACATTTTCGTTAAATATGATAAGACGGAAGTGATGGCGAAACGACGAAAAAAAAACTCGAGAAAAAAATTCCGATTTTAACACGGCCGCCGCAAATTATCGATAATCCCGGGGACCGGAATCGAACGCACGACCTACGAGTATCCTAACCTAACGCCTAACGTACCGAGCCACCTACTGAGTTGTAAACTGGAGTCAAATCTATGACTATTAAGCCGCGTCGCCGTCCCCGCGAAAGGCGAACGCCGTTTGGACGGCTGTCAAAGGGGGTTTGATCGGGCGATCCGACCGCGTCGGCGAGCGGACGACCGTGTCCGCGGCCCTCGGACGTTCAAAACGCGAGATTCGCGAAAAAAATCGAACCTCGGGACGCATGTATTTATGCCTGTATATATCGATACCCCATCGGTACCTACTCTCGTTTAAGCGACGCCGCTCCTCCACGGGACTCGTTTTTGAAAAAGTAGGGCCAAGCGGCGACTATAAATTTAGCGGGGAACGCGAATACGGCTCCGACGGGGAGGTCGGACGTCTCGCGAAAGCGCCGAACGCGACTCCAGTCGAAAAAGTCGGGAAAACCGTCGAAACGGCGACGACGCGGCGCCCTCGGCGATCGATTCGTCCGCCGGGGGACTCGTTTTTGAAAAAGTAGGGCCGCGCGTAGGGTATAAATTTAGCGGGGAACGCGAATAAGATCCAAACGGGGCGGTCGATACGCCCTAAAACGCCTAAGACTCGAATTGTCGAAAAAAACGGCAAAAAACGCGCTCGACGGCGAAGCTCGTATCGCACGCGATATCGGCCGCGTCGGGCCCCCCGGGAAA